AGGGAGCCCCCCCAGAGGGTCCCCGCTGTGACTTCAGCCGCCGACGGCATCACGGGGCTCTACGGCTGGGGAGCGCTCCCCGCGGAAAACATCTCCCTCTGCCGCATTTCCTCCATCCCAGGCACGTCCCGGGTTGAGCCGGGCCCCAAGGCACCGAGCACGAATGCCGTGGACTTACGGACCGCGTTGAAATCTGCCCCTATCATCATAACAGACCAAGGCATGGATCTCACCTCCTTGGCCACCGAGGCCAGGAAGTACTGCCTGACCTTGGACCACATCCCGAGCCGGCAGTCCACGGCCATCCAGCCCTTGATCATCAACCTCAACGCCCAGGAGCAGCCCCACGCCATCATCGCCGCAGCCAGCACCGCCGGCCTGGGCATCGCCTCCCCCATGCTCCTCTCACAGCCCAAGCAGCCTGTGGTCTATGGAGACCCTTTCCAAAGCCGTGTGGACTTCGGGCAGGGGACTGGGAGCCCGGTGTGCTTGGCACAGGTGAAGCAGGTGGAGCAGGGTGTCCAGACAGCCACTGTCAGAGCCAGTGGGGCAACCAGTGGCAAGCCCGAGCCCACCGTCCCACCCCAGACCAAGTTTGCGAGGTACGGCATGCCGGGCCAGATGGTGAAGAAGGACGTGCTCATCACACAGACTGGCGGGGCGCAGAATGTCAGTGGCCTTCCGCAGCCCTTCCCGCCAGAGCCGGGCTCAGAGATGTACCGGGCGGTGCCGGTGGAGCTGAAGAGCCAGAGCCCTCTCCTTGCCCTGGGTGGCAAGAAGTCCCAGGTGATGATGGTGCAGATGGAGGAGGCGGCCACCGGCCCGGTGACCAAAGTGCTGAAGGAGGAGCCTCCGGCCAACGTGCTGGACCTCACGGGCATGAAGCCGGAGAGCCAGGTGGCCTGCTGCGATGTGGTCTACAAGTTCCCCTTCGGCAGCAGCTGCACCGGCACTTTCAACCCCACCTCCAAGATGCCAGAGAAGAAAGCTGGGGAGGCGCCGGTGGCGCCTGGCCGGAAAGCCAGCGGGCCCCTCTATGGCAGCAGAGCGCCGGAGCTGCCAGCGACCTCCCCTACCGGCAGCCAGCCCCAGCGCCCGCACTCTACGAGGAGCAGAAGTTTTACCCCACCGGCACCTTCGGCCGCCTCTACTCCTCCATGTCAGACACCAACCTTTCCGAAATCGGGATGAGCTACTATCCCACGAAGGGGGATCAGCCCTTCCCCTCCCCAGCAGGCGACGCCGCCGTGGACCTCAGTACCATGAAGCACTCCTATAGCGTGGGCTTCGCCGAGGGGGGTTACCTGGGCCAGGGGCTGCAGCACTGCTCC